ATGAAAAGTACAATTATAAAATAAAGCTGCCACGACGCTTTTGTGGGAACGTCAGTTCTCGCGAGGACAAACAAACCAGCGCATCAAATGTTTATTTATTTATACTGGAGGAATCCGGTGAGCTGTAAAGCTCTTTTTCACAACTGTCCAGTCGGTGCCGGCCAGCGAGTTACATCAACAAAACAATACAAACAACAATGCATGCGTGGGCCCAAGCACCAGCTAACCAGGTATATTATATAAGTTACCACGATTTCAATAGAAGGGATTCCCATACCTGTCGAACCCTTATCAGTGCCTACTTTGTTACAGACCAATTAAGATCTTATTGGTCACTCCGTGCCCTTATAAATCTCAAAGTTAATCCTGCAAAGTCCCATCACAAGAGAGAAACACAAATACTTGTTGCCCGCATTGAAACGGCTGTATGCCATGTGGACCTGAAAATTATATTTCCCTGTACAAGAATACGGATACACCTTGTGGGTTGACAGGTATGACTACTACACTATACACTACTATACACTACACTATACACTACATACCTGTCAAACCCTTATCAGTGCCTACCATATTACAGACCAATTCAAACCTTAGTGGTCACCCCGTGCCCTTATAAATATCAACGTTTATCTTATAAAGTCCCATCACAATGGAGAAACACAAACGAATAGACAAAAACATTTAAAACGGCTGTACGCCGTATGGACCTGAAAACTCACTTTCCCTGTACAGGAATTCGTGGTAAACCGTGTGGGTTGACGCGTTGTGGGATTTTCGAGGCTGTTGACATTCGCGTGATGACAGGGAGTGACGTCATAACGCCCGCCGCGCCGGCCAATCAGCGGCCACGAAAACGATCCTCATGCAACATGGCCGCCGTCGCTGCCTCGAGGCCCTGTGCAACGTGGCCGCCGTGACGTCACGCCTCCGGACTGTGGCTGAAATAAGTTGTACGTTTTGTTATGAATGTTTTTACAAAGTAAATGTAATTGTGATTGTGCGTGCATTTATCTGTGAGTGTGTGTGAGAATGCGTATGTAGGTGTGTGGGGAGCGGAAGTGTTGCAATCGAAACGTCGTGATTTTTAAAAATATTTTTCTATCTACGTGACTTTACCGAAAGACCCAGAGAGTATAGATCAACAAGACTTATTTAAAACGCGGTTTGATTTTATTTTTTGTAATGAGAATGTCTTCATTAACGTTTGGCATTTGTATTTAATTAGGGCAATAACGTAATATTGCAAAGAGGTACTACTACTACTACCACGGAGCTTGGAGTGGCTGCGTTTTTGTGAAGACGAAGCGCCCCTACAGCATTAAATGTTCGAGACCGTGAGCGTCACGATGGGATTGGGCCAAGCGGAGCTGGGATAAATCAGAGTCTGGGTGCGACCGTGCGAGACGAATCGATTATTGGTGCTCCACTTGACCGATTGCCGGACGCACTCAGCTGATAATATAATCTAGTTACGCCACTGGTTAGCGAGCGATTATTAGGGCCGATATGGCACACGAGGTGTACACATACACATGTACTGGTAGGAACCTCCTGGTTACACCAGCCCACAGGGGATTATTGTGTCCATCCGTCGTGCATCCAAAAATGGGAGGGGTGGGGCTGGGTGGAGAGGGGAAGGTGGGGAGGGCCTGGGTGGGGAGGGTGGGGCTGGGTGGGGGGTGGGAGGGGTGGGGCTGGGTGGGGAGGAGCTGGTCACCCCGTGGTGCCCTTATACAACTCAACGTTTAACCTACTCACGCCGGCTTGTGCCCGCCCTCACAGTCGGGCATATTTGCGGAATACACCACGCCGCCGTTGACCCTGGCCATTGACCCTGGCCATTGACCGAGCAACCCAACGTTCCTACCAACTCCCTCCGCAGGAATGTGTTTTTCGGTCAAACAAGAGGCACATGAGAACCCGTTCAGATAAATATATCAAGACGCTGGCGAAATAATTGTCCGGATCAGAACATCATCAGCAGGGCAATGGGCACGTCTCTTTCATAAATGGGAAATTAAAGATGAGAGCCACTAGCGTATTTGTGGCCATGAAACCCAAACTATGGACCATATCGTAGGCCCATACAGACACGTAGATATACATAGAGACGCATAGAGACACAGCGATACGTTAAAGACAAGCCACAATGCGACTGTGGCCATGAAATCCAAACGATTGACCTACAGTAAAACCACTGGAGTCTGTCTGTATCTTTCAACAGAGGAGGAGGAACCGCAAAACTCCATGAACTCTCTCTCTCCTGAAACCCTCTCGTCGTGGAGAGTAGTATCGTGGATGAGAGGGGAGTTGGTCGCAGAGTTCGTGGACATTTGGCAAATTGACATCATACGCAATAATAAAATAGTTAAGTCTCTGAGCCAGGGGAACTTTGAAATGCATAAATGAATAAGCTCATCGTGAAAAGGCAATATGTAGATGAGTGTAATTACACAACTGCATTTGTGAAAAGCCAAGCCGAGTCAACTGTGAAAAAACAATGGGACGCTGTGACGATGCCTCGTCGGGGTTTGTGTATGGAGGAATGTTTGTCTCATCACAAGATTAGAAAAACCGGAAACGCAGGTTTTGGGAGGGAACAGCTGGAATGAATTCCAAAAAGTTGAAAATGTTTTCGGCCAAGTTCACTTCGCGTTTTCAGTTTCAACAAAGTTCCTAATTAAATATATATTTTTATTGAACGTACGGTATTAATTTCCTCCTCCACAAATGTTGTTTCAATGTTAATCTTGGTGGCACGTCACGAGACAGTGTCAATTCTCAACTCTCACAATGAGCGCCAATGCACGACAGAGCCGGTCCGCGGAAGGTGAAATCACAGAACTACCTCGGAGAGGATCATTCAAGTGGCCCTATTGATGGACATGCCCTGCACGTGCACAGTGAACAAAAACAACATCACACGAATTCGTCAGTACCACTGTTTGTGGCCTTAAAATAAAATATACAAAAGGCGAAATTTCAGGCAAAAACCCCTGTTCATAGCACTTGATTACGATTACGAAACAATCCCATAGTCACGTGCTATGAAGAAGGGCAATTGCTTGAAATGTTGCCTATTATACATTTATTTCCTTTTAAAGCAACTGTCGTATTGACTAATCTATTGAGTTTCTTGTTATTATCAGGGCTGGAGTTTTACCGGATTATCTGAAAAACGAATGTCATTGTATTATTGGTTCTTTCGATAAAGTCACGTAGAAGGGAAATAATAAAATAATAAAAAAGATATATAAAGCAATAACAATTCTCACGACGTTTCGAAACGTCGTGAGAATTTTTTTTATTGTTTTATATATTTATTTTATTTTATTACTTCCCTTTTTACGTGACTTTACCGAAAGAACCAAGAATATGAATCCCTGCAGTCACGAATGCTTTAAATCAGAATGTCATATTGTTAGGCTATGATTATGCAGCCATCGGTGTGGCCGCCTTTGTCTCCATCAATGCTCATTTAAGACCCAGGACAGCTTCAGATGTAACCGGCTACTGAATGTTCGCCATGAGCCTGCAATGTGGTGGTTTTTTGTTTTAGCGCGGTGCGCAAACCACTGCGCCACCGCTCCAGTGGCTCGCTGAGAGCCCGGATAGCTCAGTCGGTAGAGCATCAGACTTTTAATCTGAGGGTCCAGGGTTCAAGTCCCTGTTCGGGCGCAATTATATTTTGTTTTTAAATATGAAGTCATTATTTACATATCTGAAACATTAAAACATTGTTGAAAAAACTTTGGTGGTATGCAAATTTGTTTAAATTAACCGACGCAGACAAAGATTTCCGCATGGAGCATTTAACGAGACTGTTGGGGAAAATGTTGTTCGCGAGCACCTATTAAGTCCGGAACGCCACTCGAAGAGGAGTGGTGGGGCGTGTGGCCACCACCACCACGCCCGGCCGACTTTTTCGCCGCACCAGATACTCATTTAAGGCCGAGTTGACCTAGGGAAGTCCCAGGACAGGTTCAGATATCACTTCGCCTCCGATATGAAAACGTTTCAGGAAAATCCAACGCTCAGGTGACCCACGTGTTGAGCATCATTGAGTGTGAGAGACAAAGGCGCTCCGTGCATGCTGCCGGCCTTCATCGGTTCTCGTCGCTAACAGCACTTTGCCCCAAGCGACTGTGGGGGCTATACGGGGGATCTTTGTCTTTGTGTGTGGATGGGTGTGTGGGGGGGAGGGGCAAGCAGACACACACGGAGGCCCGGGAGCTTTGTGTTGTCGCTTGCGCGTGGAGGTGGAGGAGGGGGAAGAGGGGAGGTGGAGGGAGGTGGAGGAGGAGGGGGGGGAGGTGGAGGAGGAGGGGGAAGAGGGGGGGGAGGTGGAGGGGGGTGGAGGGGGGGGGAGGTGGAGGAGGTGGAGGAGGAGGAGGGGGGGAGGTGGAGGGGGGGTGGTGGAGGTGGGGGGGAGGTTGAAGGGGGGGGGGGAGGTTGAAGGGGGGGGGGAGGTTGAAGGGGGGGGGAGGTTGAGGGGGGGTGAGGTTGAGGGGGGGAGGTGGAGGGGAGGGGGAGGTGGAGGGGGGGGGAGGTGGAGGGGGGGGAGGTGGAGGGGGGGAGGTGGAGGGGGGGAGGAGGGGGAGGTGGAGGGGGGAGGTGGAGGGGGGGGGAGGTGGAGGGGGGGGGAGGTGGAGGGGGGGAGGTGGGGGAGGTGGAGGGGGTGGAGGTGGGGGAGGTGGGGGGAGGTGGAGGGGGGGGAGGTGGGGGGAGGTGGAGGGGGGGGAGGTGGGGGGAGGTGGAGGTGGGGGGAGGTGGAGGTGGGGGGAGGAGGGGGGGGAGGTGGAGGGGGCGGAGGTGGAGGGGGGGGCTGAGCAGCAGAGCGGGTTGGGTGGTGGACCCAGGATCGCGCTCTCAGCTGCCACTGCCCCTCGTGTGGAGGTGGGGCTCCTGCCAAGCCTCGTGTGTGCGTGGGGAGGGGAGAGAGGAGGAGGAGGGAGAGGAGGAGGGGGGGGGTGCGTGAGCCACAGGCAGTTCGTAGAGTCTATAAGTTCACTCTCCACCAAGCCACCGTCGTGTCCGCCTACCGCCGCGCACCCTCCTCCTCCATCATCTTCTCATCGTCTCGTCCGTGCCGCCCGGCCACGTGAAGCACACGAGGAGCCTCCGAACGCGCAGCACCCACGCCATGTACATCATGCAGAAGGACACCACGTTCACCAAGATCTTTGTCGGAGGGCTGCCCTACCACACCACGGACGCGTCCCTGAGGAATTTCTTCGAATCGTTTGGAGAGATCGACGAGGCCGTGGTGATCACGGACCGGCAGACGGGCAAGTCCAGAGGATATGGCTTTGTGAGTACATTGGGCGAGCTGGCGTCTCCTCCTCCTCCTCCACCTCTCCCATTGATGATCCACAAACCTCGAGCGCGTGTGGTGGTGTAGTGTGTGTGGTGTGTGGTGGTAGTGTGGTTGTGAGTATGTGGTGTGTGTGGTGGTGTGTGTGGTGGTGTGTGTGGTGGTGTGTGTGGTTGTGGTGTGTGTGGTTGTGTGTGTGTGTGTGTGTGGTGTGTGTGTGTGTAGTGGTGTGTGTGTGGTGTGTGTGTGTGTAGTGGTGTGTGTGTATGGTGGTGTGTGTGTAGTGGTGGTGGTGTATGGGTGTATGGTGGTGTGTGTGTGTGTAGTGGTGTGTGTGTGTAGTGGTGTGTAGTGGTGTGTGTGTGTGTGTGTAGTGGTGTGTGTGTGTGTAGTGGTGTGTGTGTGTGTGTAGTGGTGTGTGTGTGTGTGTAGTGGTGTGTGTGTGTGTGTAGTGGTGTGTGTGTGTGTGTGTAGTGGTGTGTGTGTGTGTGAATACTTACCATCAGTGTTGCGCAACGAACTCGCACAAAATCTGGGTTCGAGCCTAACCGCGTGGATCAACAGAATATCAACAACAGTGGTGTCAAACAGAGCCCGACTGTGGGCCTCCCGTAGGTAGACTCGGCCTCAAACTCTTATCTCAGAACGAGCGCGTTCACAAAGGGCCCCGGAGGGACAGAGGTGGCCAAACCCACCACCCCCTCGTGTGCCCCTCGAGCCTCAATAGGTGCTCGCTAACAGCGATTGCTCCAACAGAATCCTTGTAGATATATTTTAAATATCTCGCTTCTCGTGATATGGGAGGTGGCTGCATGGTTCGGCCGACAAGCCCAGGACTCTGGGTTCGATGCCGCTAGCCGGGTCCGACTCTGCCTCGGTTCTAATAGGCGCTCGCTAACAGCGCTTTGTCTTGGGGGTCTCTCACACAACGCTACACGTGGGGGGCTCTTTGTGGCGTAGAGAGTCGTGCCTTGTGTGGCGCTGATGGGTGGTGGAGCGGTGTGTGTTGAGATGGATTGGTGTGTGGCGCTGATGGTCGGTTGTGTTGGGGTGGGGTGGTGTGTGTGTGTGTGGTGGGGTTGGGTTGTGTGTTGGGGTTGGGTGGTGTGGTGTGTGGGTGGTGGTGTAGTTTGGGGTGGTGTGGTGTGTGGTGTTGGGGTGGCGTGGTTTGGGGTGGTGTGGTGTGTGTGGTGGGGTGGGGTGGTGTGTGTTGGTGGGGTGGTGTGGTGTGGTGGGGTGGTGTGGTGTGGTGGTGGTGTGTGTTGGGGTGGTGTGGTGGTGGTGTGTGTTGGGGTGGTGTCGTGCGGTGTGTTGGGGTGGGGTGGTGTGTGGTGGGGTGGTGTGGTGTGTGTTGGGGTGGGGTGTTGGGGTGGGGTGGTGGTGTGTGTTGGGGTGGTGTGTGTGTGTTGGGGTGGTGTGTGTGTGTTGGGGTGGTGTGTGTGTGTGTGGTGGTGTGTGTGGTGGTGTGTGTTGGGGTGGTGTGGTGGTGTGTGTGTGGTGGTGTGTGTTGGGGTGGGGTGGTGTCGTGCGGTTTGTTGGAGTGGGGTGGTGGTGTGTGTGTTGGTGTTGGGTGGTGTGGTGTGTGTGTGGTGGTGGTGTGTGTATTGGGGTGGTGTGCTGGTGTGTGTGTTGGGGTGGTGGTGGGGGGTGGTGGGGGGTGGTGGTGGGGGGTGGTGGTGGGGGGTGGTGGTGGGGGGTGGTGGTGGGGTGGTGTGGGGAGGGGTGGTGGGGTGGTGTGTTTCGTATCCCGCTCACGGCCACGAACAGCAGTGACCATTATTATTATTATCTGAACCGCTCCTGGGGCTCCCCTAGGTCGATTCGGCCTCAAATGAGTACCTCGTGCTATGTGTAGTCATCGCCAGTGGGGAGACAAAGGCGGCCCGGCGTGGTGCTGGCCACCCACCCCCTCGTATACATTGCCTGCGTTCATAGGTGCTCGCTAACAGCACTTGCCCCAACACTAAGTGAAGGCTACACGGGGGATCTTTATCTTTGCCTTTTGTGGTTGTAGGGGGTGGTGATTGTGCGGTGTATGGCGGGTCCGTGTGGTTTACTTGATCGGTGGTGTTACATGCGATGGGGTGGGGTGTGTTGGGGTGCTGATAGGTGACGGCGTGGTGGGCGGTGTTGTTGGTAGGTGGTTGGTGGTGGGTGGTAGACAATGTGGTGGGTGGTGGTGTGGTAGGTGGTGGTGTGGTAGGTGTCAGGCAGGGTGGTAGGTGGTTGCAGGGTGGTAGGCGGTGGTGGTAGTGTGGTTGGTGTCAGGCAGGGTGGTTGGTGGTTGCTAGGTGGTGGTTGTGTGGTTGGTGTCAGGCAGGGTGATTGTGTTGCTTTCCCAGAGTCGAATGGAATAAACGTTGCTCGCGTCTGATGCATTCTTCACGAACACAATCGCCTCTTCGCGTTCAACTCGTGTGTGTGCGCGCGTGTGTGTGCGTGCGTGTGTAGGTGTGCGTGTGTGTGCGCGGGTGTGGGTGCGGGTGTGTGCGCGTGTATTTTTGTCCTCAAGGGATTTTGAAAAGTAAAATTGTTTTGGTGGTTTCATTCTTTAATGTCAAGCACTCGTTGTGTGTGTGTGCGTGTGTGTGCGTGTGTGAATGTTATATTTACACCTATGACCAAGTCACCCGGAATGTGCCCCATCTCGTAAGAGCTCGAAAGCTAAGCCGGCTTGAGCCTGGATAGGCTTTGTATGGGGTGCCCGGGGCAGCCGTGCATAACAGGCGTTATAGGCTGCCGCTGGGGCGATGCAGGTCGTGGTCGGTCTAGTTCACCATACTTCACCTCGCCGGTCAGTGCGGTTTGGCGAATGTGCCGAGCATATCCGCACGCGAGCATAGAAGTGCAGTACAACGGATTGTGCTGCTCTGTCCTCCACGTGCCACGGGAGGAGAGCTGCCCCCCCCCCCCCCACAGTCACGTGGCGCCCTGTGGGTGACTCTCCTTGCAGGCCAGTGACACGTTGTCCTGCGGAGGGAGCTGGTAGGAACACGTTTGGTTGCTCGGTCAATGGCCAGGGTCAACGGCGGCGTGGTGTATTCCGCAAATATGCCCGACTGTGAGGGCGGGCACAAGCCGGCGTGAGTAGGTTAAACGTTGTATTTTATAAGGGCACCACGGGGTGACCAGCCCCTCCCCTCCCCACCCAGCCCCACTCCTCCCACATGCCACCCAGCCCCACCCTCCCCACCCAGCCCCTCCCCACCCAGCCCCTCCCCACCCATTTTTGGATGCACGACGGACGGACACTAATCCCCTGTGGGCTGGTGTAACCAGGAGGTTCCTACCACTATAATGTTGTGTAGATATCATGTAGATGATGTAGGCATTGCTCGTGTCGGATTGTGTGGGGAGTGGCACCGTAGCTGCTGGCCCGCTTCGCTGCGAACCTGGCCACCAAAGTTCGATTCCCGCTCACGGCCGCAACGCCAGTGGCGGTTATCCGAACCAGTCCTGGGCCTCTCCTAAGTCAATTCCACCTCAAATAAGTAATGCACCTGGTGCGGATGTGTAAATATCACCTCTTTGGAGACAAAGGCGGCCGGGTGTCGTACTGTCCACCCACCCCCTCGTGTGCCGTGCCGGCATTCGTAGGCGCTCATGAACAGCACTTGGCTCAAAAAATCTGAGGCTATACGTGGGGGGTGGGTCTTTGTCTTTGTGAGTGTGTGTTTGTCAGAAACATTCCACAGTAATTTTTGTGTGCAAAGTTTTGGATGAGCCCGTATTTGTTATTTTGCAAAGGACATGTTCGGTTTCAATGGGGTCTCAGCCGGTCGGAATAAAGTCTGTTTATTTAAACACGGGGTGGAGAACTCTATCCCTACCAAAGGCCGAATAGCACCTTCAGATACCTTTTGAAGGAGCCACACATCAACAAGCACGCACACCAAAATCCCCTCTGTCACTGCAAGAGATCCTGAAGCCGTTTACAACATTTGCATTTATTCTCAGAAGTATTGAATGAATTTCGTTTTTCTAATGAATGCGTGTTGCCTGCTGTGATGAGGCTTGAAATGAAGCACGTGGGACAAAACACAAAAACCTGACAAATTCACGAAGAAACACGGAGAGGTTACGGAGTGTTCTTGGGAGTTGAATCGAAGGGGATGGTCATCGTAACTGGTCGGAGAAGTCGAGTGGGCTCTTGTCCAGACACCTCGAATTGGAGGGTGGTGGCCAGAGGAGCCAAATGGTCCCGAGAGGATATGTCCAAGGTGGTGGAGCGATGGGATCGGCTCGTGTGCGATTGCTCCGTGAGTTGTTACATGGTAGGACCGCGAGAGATGGCGACCACTTGACCAGCAGTGGGTTTATCATGGCTGATGATGATGATTCGTTACGGAATGTGTTCCAACCACTCGTTGTTTCCAAAGACAAACAAGTCGCATGAGGTGTGAGTGGAACACTGTGTTGATTGACCTATCTAAACTGGAATATTACTTAACTAATTGACTGGATAAAGCTTCCCGGTGTAAGACTGTAGATTAGAAACACTCTTGATTATTGCTGCAAGAAAAACCACCTCACTACGTCGACATTAAGCAGTAATCTGTATTAATATCGAGTTGGTATTAATGGAAATGGGTGGGAAATGGTGTACAGTTTCTGTATGAGATGGTGACTCATTTGAGTACTTTATCTCAATTGTACATGAGAGTGTGTTTGCGTCAGCGCACCGAACGTGGAGACCCAAGTTCATTTCTCGGCCACGGCCAAAATCAATAGGGGCTATCTGAAACCACCCTGGGACTCCCCAAGGTTGCCTCGGCCTTAAATGAGTACCTGGTGCGGTGTGTATTAAACGTTGGCACTGGGGAGACAAAGGTGGCTGGTTGCAGAGCTCACCACACTGGCCCATCGTTGCACCATCTCGACCTTAACTGGCACTCACTAGCAATGCGTGTCTCAACCGTCTGCGTAGGCTATACGAGGAATCTTCGTCTTCACATCATCACACCTCCAGTGCGAACACAAATAAACGCGTGAAGACA